ATCTTTCTATTTATATTTCGTTCTTATTCTCATAAAGGACTGGTATACGTACAGGAAGAGAAAAAAAAAGTTATTGCTGAATAAGGTCTTATTGGTGTGAAGAGAAACAAGAAAGAAGAAAAAAGAAATTTTCCGTTTATCGCTATCCTCTTCCTTGTATTATTCATCGATATCTTTATCGGCAGGAAAGGAAAAATACCTCATTGGTTTGTTTCTTGCCATTAATAGGATGAAGGAAACCAAAGATGGAGCGACGTACATATATGTATCGTACATGGCACATCAAAAATTTTTTTGTTCGAAAAACTTTTCGCGAATTCTCCATTAGGTGCTCGATATTATTAACTTGTTTTGTTAATTGTGTTGAAAACTCATTGGGTTTACTATTTTTTTTTACGTTTATCTTTTAAAATTTTATAATAATTTTTACAAAGAATATAAATTGCTTTTTTGTATTTATTTTAATTCAGTCCTTAAAAAAATAAAATTATTTTTAATTGATTTCTTTTTTTAGATAAAAGGAAACAAAGTTGTATATAATATGCCAAGTTTTATTTTATATTAAAATTGAAAAAAAAATGTTCTTTATTATATTAATTTAATGTTTGAAAGAAAAATTTCATTAAATCATTGTGATCAAGTAAAAATTTGATAACATAAAACCAGGTTTTCTGGGAATATTGGGATTTGAAGGGCGGATGAAAGCATAGAAAATACTTGAAAAGATATCCATTGGATAGAGCTCGTCGAGTTCTATCGATCTGTGTCACTTTTAGCTTTTGATCCCAACTGGGGGCGAATCCCGATGCATTATTTGCTGCAAAAACCAGGTTTTCTGGGAAAATTCGGATTTTAAGGGCGGATGGAAGCATAGAAAATACTTGAAAAGCTACTCATTGAATAGATCTCGTCGAGCTCTATCGATCTATGTCATTTTCAGCTTTCAGTCTCAACTGGGAGCGAATCCCGGTGCGGTATTCGAGGCAAAAATCAGGTTTTCTGCGAAAATTCGGATTTTAGAGGCCGATGAAAGCACAGAAAATACTTGAAAAGATATCCATTGGATAGAGCCCGTCGAGTTCTATCGATCTATGTCATTTTAGCTTTTGGTCTCAACTGGGATTTTAGGGGCGGATGAAAGCACAGAAATTACTTGAAAAGATATCCATTGGATAGAAGTCGTCGAGTTCTATCGATCTATGTCATTTTCAGCTTTTGGTCCCAACTGAGGGCGAATCCCGGTGCACATTACGAAAAAAATCTGATTTTTTGCTTAGTTTTTTAGTATTTTAAGTTTTTCTCCTGCTTGGAATGGTTTTGGAGAAAAAGTAAATAGTGCATTCGATGGAGCTCGTTGAGCTCTATCTTGGTCCGCAGGGCTTGATTTTTGGTCCCAACTGTGAGCGAATCCAGTTACGGAATACTCGAATCCAGGCCCAAGATATCCTACGTTCCTATCAAAAGCTATTCAAAAAATGGCCAGATGTCTTTTATTTTGAATCGGGTAATAGTTTATGTAAATTATTTGAATCTGTATTAAACGACATCTACTGTCTATCCATTACGACAGTTCTGCTGAACGTGTATTATTTGTATTGAATTCGTCATTATTACATGGCGGATTACAAAAGTTTTTTTGCTTGGCTCTCCTAAAAGTCATAATTTCAGTCTAATTATTCTATCATAATACACAGACATATTTAGAATTATGTGCAAAATTTCAGCCTTTCAGATCTTATGAATTGTTATATTTTCTCATTGCTTTTAGAACAGTCATATGCCATTTTTTTTATCTGCATTTGGACTCTCAGTGCGCATCAGACTCCACGAAGTGTTCGATTTTTCACTCACGAATAGGAAACGACAGTTGGATCGAAGCTTTCGTGAAACAGGCTAATTTTGCCCTATATTGGATTTTATCATTGCTATACAAACTTATACTTTCTTGTGAAAGTTAGTACAACGTAGGTGTCGAAGAAGACAAGATCGAAAGCCACAAACAATCCGTCGTCGTGTATAGCCCTTATCTACGCCTGATACAATGTATACTTTATAGCTATTTTAGAAAATGTTTATTCTTGTCGTAGAGAAAGTTGTTATTTCAGAAAAATAAATGATTATTTCAACTAATAATTTGATAGAAAGAAGAATAGGGTTATATTATGGAGTCGAAATGCAATTGCAACTGAATATTTATCATCTAAAAAACACAACAAAAAAGTTGTCAATAATAAGCACCTACGAAAACTGAATTAAATTGCTCGCATAGTAACAGAAATCAGTCGAATATATATTACGCCCAAAAGGTATGATTAACAAACGAAACATTGTAATAATATCCTTCAAATATTTAGGTCAAAATATTAGAGTGGCGATTGTTAAGGTGCAAATATTTTATGAGGTACGGCTGCAGTTAAGCAAGCACTAGAAAGGGAATCTATAGAGCAGATACTATCAACCTAGGTAGTATCTTATAGTTAATACAAAATTTAGGACCACAGAGAGTGGACATTATGAAAGGATTGCACAATATATCAAATGAAGTTCTTAGGATTTCTCGAAAGATATTGTTTTTTCAAGTTATAACTACCTCTTAAATACTAACACATTTCAGATTTCAACAGCAATCATTAAAATACATGTGTGATAATGACGACTATAGCATAGCTCATGGCACGCACTAAAATAAAATGTGCCATATGTATCGTAATTTCAGACACAGTCTACGACATATTCAAGTGCGATACAAGATGCTCGTTGCGACAAATTTTGTACAGTGACAGCACAACATATTCTTGTACGACACATGCGACACATTCTGGAAATGTAATTCAAGTGTAGTATCCAGTGCATTTTTAATGTTTTGTAAATCCAGCATATTTTTTTCATTTGCCACCGACAATAGTGATATCTATTCTGGAAATTTGAAGCGATCATATCTTGAGATTGAAATGTCTCGAATCGATCTAATCTCGACCAGACTGCTTCAAGGCAGTCCATTCTCAATCATCGATCGATTTTAAAATATTCTTGACTAAGAAACAATCAAGAAAATAATCTGTAAAAAAATAGTAAATTTAATAATGCATAAGTTTGTATGTTCGATCGAATTATCTCTATATATACCTGTATATGCAAAACAAGACGGTGAATGAGTAGTCAATAGACAGAACGCGACACATTCTAATTGCGATACATTTTCGCGATATAGTGCCCGATACTAAAACTAACGACACAGTTTATTTTAGTGTGAAATATTTGGAGTCACTGTTACTCCAAACATAATCAAGTCTGCTGAAAATCACAAGTGAATCGCTCAGCCTCAAATTCCACATTACAATATATACCAATATTAGCAAATCAAGAATAAGCTACTCTTAAATTTAGTGCGTCTCTATCATCACTAGCAAACAATGGATGTTATACATAGTTCTTTTTTTTCAATAACAGCGGCCAAATTATCTCAAATCGAAAGTACAACGTTGTAGTACGAGAAGAAACGTCTCTCATTGCCGATGCAATGATTTCTGAGCGAATAAACTAGTTGCACACAATTATTGCAGAAACTTTCAAGAATTATCAAGACTGGTCTTGTTTCAATCTCTAGAATAAACGATCATTGAACAAGATTTATACGGGACTCTTTTTAAATGATTTATATGACGGATTTCATATGTATGGTTTATGCTTTGTTGTCAACATGTACATGATCAATATGATTCAAAAGTAGCCGCCATATTTCCATGTTACTCTGTAGTTGTTTTCTGGACTCATCATATGACATAATTTATCTTTTCTTTGCTTACACATTTTTTTCTCGCACTAAAAGCTAAACTTGTTGTCTACATTTATTTTTCAGAAAAAAAACTCTAATTTTCAGACTCGCTGTCTACATGACTGAACGTTGTACTACTTTTAATCCACATCGATTCAAACCAAATATATGTTGTGACTGTTTTGAAGATGAACAACATCATCCAACTAGAGTAACTTCAAATGAACATCCATCATCTGCTGTTCAAGTCCCTGTTTATCATGAAACAACAGATAATAAAGATCAATCCAAACCAAATGATGAAGCCCCAAATCCTCAGTCAACGTCAACACAAACCATACTTGCCCGGAACAAATATAACGTCTCATGTCATAATACAGAAGGTATTCATTTCGAGCAATTTTTGAATTCATCCAGTCACAAAGAACATCATAATTCAAATACAAGTCTGTCACAAGTAGATACCAGTGAAAATATTGTACCCAATCGTACAAATGAACAGGATATAGTACCTCCGAGCGCAATACTATCTACAAAGATACTTCCACAATGTATATATGGTTTGTCATGTTATAGAACAAATCCTAATCATTTTGAGCGTTTTTCACATCCACGTGGTCATCAGAGAGAAGAAAAATCCTCTGGGATCAGTATCGTTGACAACCCTTTCTTTAACAATGACAGTTCTTCTCCAATGAAATCTACGTCTAGTCCTGATAGTAAACGCGTACGAAGACTTGAAAAAAAACTTGATAAATATAAAGAATCCGAACTTTATTTCATCAAGCTGATAGAAAATAAAATGGAAAGCTTGACTGTCCAGTTTGGATTGCAGGCGCAGGAAGTTGAAAAAATGCGTCAAGATCGAACAAAAATGGCTATGTATAATCAACAGTTAGAAATTGCGCTTCAAAAAGAATTAGATCATCGTGAACAGCACGAGCTAGAACGAAAGCAAATCTTAGCTATTCACAGGCAAGTACCAAAGTATTGGCATCCAAATACATTAGAAGAAGCTTATCGTGAATACGAAATATCGGCTCAATCTGAAGAATTTGATGTGATTAAGCTATTGATGAATTCAACAATATCAATGCATAGAAATCGATATGGAACAGTTAATGGACGAGATCCAACGAAATTTTTAATAAACAGAATATTACGAATATATAATAGCGAATTATGGCATCTTTATTGCTTCAAAAAGGTAAGATAAGGTTCTGTAAAAACTCTTTGAAAGGTGTTCTCTTTTAATGCATGTTATCGGTAATGTTTTCAAGGATGCTGGTCCAGTCGAGCAACAAAATAGAGAAATCTCTGCCATGACCACCTTCGGAATAGTAAGGCTTAGAATGCAATATAGAAAGTGAAATTTTTGATCATATTACAACTTTTAGTCATACGATTCTCATTCAACTCAAGAATATCGGAAAGTAATTAAGAACAAACATTCGTCTAAATATAAATGTGACTTCGCAAACAAAATAGTAGAACATCTAGACATTTTTCTTAAAACATTCATATAGAAAGTATATACGCACATAGAGCTGTTTTCTGATCATCTATTCTTAATTAAACATTTCTTTTTAATGAGAGTTTGGACATAGTCCTGGATAGAATAAATAAATAAATAATAATAAATAAGTCCCACAGGATTATTTCCCGTCGGGGCCAATAGATGAAAGAATAAGATCTTTCCAAACTTTTCTATTCTGAGCTAGATGGAAAAGATCTTGTATATTGCAGTTGCACCAAGCTGTAATATCATCTAACCATTCTCTAGAAGGACGACCAACTCGAGATTTTCCATCCATTCTAGAGAATACCACTTGCTTTATTAGCCTGCTGTCATCCATTCCACTAATATGTCCAAATAATTGTAACTTTCTCTTTTTTATGATGTCCACAATAGTAGTTTTTCGGGATATCATTTTTCTTACAGCCTCATTTGATACTTTACCTGGATAGAATACTGAACGTTATTCTTAAGGGGAAAAGTTTATTGCCTTCGTACTCCGCTCTAGGCATCCGAGTAGGTCAAATCTATTTTTGTCCGCTGTTTGTAAGAACAATTTTGACTATTCTACTTGAGCTCATGTCTTAATTCCAGGCAGAAAGAAATTTTTGATGTACAATGGTTACTCCGAAAATGGTCTAATTTGCTTAAATACTTGCTGAATAGATAATTCAGAAGAGTCGCTCAGATCTAATAAGTTTTGCTGCTGTTGAGTTCAGAATAATTTTTGACGGATGATAGTTTCTGACAAAGTTTCGTTCCAACTAACGAGAAAAGGCAACAGACTGTTAAATCACTTTTGAATCGACACTACATGCATCATGTAGTTCCTAATGAACTATAAATACCTTGAAAAGAGTTCAGACTAATAGCATATTAATGTTGAGATACGATATTTGACGATGTTTCTCTAACAGAACGCCGTGATTCTTCTCAGAAACATCAGAAAAACTGATTTTGAAATTTCAACTCCAAACTTTGCACAGAGACAGACTTTAACGGAGAAAGTCTATTGTACAAGTTTCAGATCTTTTGCTGCACTCTTATCCTGAAATACGAACACCGAATCTATCCATGTATAAGAGTAATGTAAAGACGCGCTGCTGCGACAGGTGCATCTGACGATAGAAGTAAATCAAAAGATCTGAAATTTTCACCATAGACTTTCTCCGTTAAGATCTATTTCCGTGCAAAGTCTCAAGTAGAAAATCCAAAATCAATTTTTTTTGGTGTTTCTGAGGAGAACCACGACATTTCATTAAAGAAACATCGTCAAAATGTCGGATCTCAGCTATAATAAGCTATTAGCCCGAACTCTTTTCAAGGTATTCATAGCTCATTAGAGATTACACAATGCACGTAGTCTTGACTCAAAAATGATCTTACAGTCTGTTGCTTTTCGTCGTAAAATGGAAAAAGTGCTCCAGCAAAATGACTAGGACACCTGTAGATGTGATCAATATACCTGAACGAGAAGCCTGAAACAATATGTTTTTTTTTCTAAATAAATTCCTATGAATAAGTATCTCGGAAAATTAGCTGCTCCAGTGCATCGACGATGAAAGAATATTTCAGGATTTCCTGATTTTTTTAAAATACCTATTTCGATGAGAGTTAGTTCTGTGACTTTAAAAAAAACCTATTTATTGTGGTGGACACAACTAATACTACAGTTTGTCTTGATACCAACTCAAGCTTTTACATAATCAAACATCACAAAAATAATCATTGCACTGATTATAGACATCACTCTTCTCTTACTCTTGAATACATTATTTGACATCCAAGGTTCTGTTTTTCTTTTAAGATTATTCACCTATCATATAGATTGTAAAGAAATAAATCCTGATAAATGCTTCCATTCTTATTATTACAATTCAATTAATTTAAGCTGATAAGTCGATTGATTGCTATATATTCTCTCTTTCAGGACAGAATCATTCGTCAAAATAATGATGAAGTGGCCAATTGTGGTAGTTCGATTTACTTGGAAGCTCACCCATTACTGACACCTCTGCTAGACCCAAGAGCGAACGAATACTGGCTTTTTCATGGATGTAGCCGAGATACTATAGACCAGTTGTTACATGCTGGTTATGATCCTCGTGTTTCCAATCTGAGTGGCATATTTGGAGGTGGTTTCTATCTAGCTGAGAATTCCTCAAAATCGAACCAATATATTCCTTGTCCTAGATGTGGTCACAACTTTAAAGGTAGTGCTTTAGGATGCAGTTGTGCTGATCAAGAAGATATCGAGTTTTCCATGATCCTTTATCGTGCCGTCTTGGGTGATGTACATGTGACCCTGAAGTACGATAAAAAAAAATACTGTCTTGGTCCTAATAACCAACGTATTCGTCGCCCACCTAAGAAACGACATAGTACGAAATTGTATGATTCAGTAATGGGAGAAAGCATGAGAAATGGCGGCGATCGACTCATACACCGTGAATTTGTTCTATACGATTCAGAGCAAGCTTATCCTGAATATGTCATTTATTTTCGGCGTTCAGCAAAAACTAAACTTGGACCAAGTGACATAAGAAATTTGAAAAGGAAATGTTGCGATTTTTTGGTCAGATCATCTTGAGTAACTCCAGAATAACCTTGATTTTTTTCTAAATTTTCATTTGAAAAGATGCAGACAATATCAATTTTATAAATCTTAATGACGAATAAAACTTTCTCGAAGTACTTGTTTTTCTTAGTGGGTATAACCTACCAACAGTCATTTACATACGAAGAATTTTCGACCCGGAATGAATTTTCAAGTCGAGAAGCTAGGGTGTGATTGTGGGTGTGGGGTGGGGTGTGGGTGTGAGTGATGTAGGTGTGGATGGATGTGGCTGGGGTGTGCCTTTGAGTGTGCATGTGCGTGTGGGTGCGGCTATGGCTGTGAATTCATCTTTAACTCATACTCACACCCACATTCACCCTACACCCACACCCTTTCAATCGGATGAATACAATGAAAAAACGAATGATTCAATTACAGGAATAGTACGACCGGCAATAACACGACAATATCAATCGTTTAGATGGGCAGAAATGGAGACCTACTATGCTAGAATCTATCTGAGCATTCATTGGCCATTCGACGAACGTCATGCACGAATTGCAGGCCGTAAAATCGCATTCTTCATTTACAAGAAATTACGTTCATAATTCATCTGTCACTGACACTCACTGCGACAATTCTCTACGGATTTAAAAATCAGAAACAGTTCATTTAACTGATATCTTCGGACTTTTTATCAAAAAAAAACATATGACTTTGATAAGCTCACACAAATAAATATCATTACATTGTTTTCAAGATTTTTGTATCATTTTCATGATATTACTTTAATTTTTCCCAAAAAAAATAAAACAATTGCATTAGTTTCATCGCTTTTACATGTGACAACTGTGAGCGTTTTACATCCATTCTCGTTGAGGGTGTGTGG